TAAAATAAAATAAAATAAAATAAAATAAAATAAAATAAAATAAAATAAAATAAAATAAAATAAAATAAAAAAAAAATTAAAATAAAATAAAACTGATATTGCCGAAGAATTTCTTGAATTCTTTACTAATATTGGACCGAATCTAGCTGCTAACATAACTAACAACGGTGATCATAACAAATATCTCAATAGACACCGGTATATTTCATTCTTTTTCCATCCTGTTTGTGATTATGTCGTCTTCACCGAGATCAATCATTCAGACACCAAAATGTCTGTTGGTTACGACCTAATCCACTCAAAACTTGTAATTCAATCATCTTTCATTATCTCAGCTCTTCTTGCTCACATCATTAACTGCTCATTTATAAAAGGTATTTTCCTCGGTAAGCTAAAAATAGCCAGGATTACTCCAGTATTTAAACGACCCAGCACATATGTGGGAAATTACAGGCCCATTTTGATTCTTCCTGTCATTAGCAAAGTTGTTGAGACAACTGGCAACAAACAAATGACCAATTACTTAGAAAAAATGAAATACTCCAAAAATTCCAGTATGGATTTAAAAAAAACACACAATACTAAACTGACCCTGGCTGACTTAGTCAAAGACATAGCTACAAATCTGAACAGTGAATATATCACTATTGGTATATTTATTGACTTTAAAAAACATTTGATACCATTGACCATAGCAGTAAACTCGAAAATTACGGATTTAGGGGTACAGTACTACAGTGGTTTACAAACTACCCCTTCGATCGAAAGCAGTATTTTTTATTTGGCACGAGCACTTCGTTTCCCGAACTATCTCCTGCGGTGTTCCACAAGAATCGATTCTCGACCAAATTGTATTCCACTTGTAGATAAATGATATTGCTAACTAAAATGATAACTCTGTCAGCGTCTTCGATTTCCGCCTTTTTGTGGACGACACCAATCTTTTCAAAGTTCTTAGGAATAACGTCATTAATCTGAAACAGCATTAACTTCGAATTCCAGATGTGTGCAACTGGTGCAAGGCAAATATAAATTAACAATCAATACAGACAAAACTGATTATATGTTAATTAAAACAATCCATACTTGTGGTAACGTTAAGGTTCAAAATATAACTATAGAGGGCGTCTCATCTGCAAAGTACCTGGGTGTAATAATTGACAATACATTAAATTGGAAAGAACACACAACAGATTTGTGAAACTATTTCACCTAAAATTGGTAGCAATCAGTTCGTGCTTTGCGGGCGATCCGAATCAACGTATTTATTATTTGGCAGTGAATCAAGAGTAATAAGTTTATACAAAATCTGAAGCAATATATTTAGTGGTTTGTAGATAAGCCAGTAGTAATAAGTCACTGTTAATGACACAGACCCGTTGCAATTAAGGAAAATGTTATTCATGCCAAAAATAAAGTAATATGCACCAAAAGCATAGCGAATAATTTAGAGTGAATATTTGGTTGATCTAGTATGAACACAGATTAGATGCATTAAATGACTTTCATTTTATTTCAATTTTATCTGTCCAGACTCATGTACAGAAATACGAAACACGGAACGATTCATCATGGACATGTATCTCGACTTGTATAATGTTTTTATAAAATTTTAATGAAAACCTACTGTCCTGTCCATGATACCACATTTTCCAAAAACAAGATTAATGCGAGTCGGTCATCTTTGATCTGATTATGAAACAAACTAACATGAATATGTGTTCATGTATGTATGATGTATGTGCCAAATATGATTAAAAATGGTTGATCTAGTATCAACACAAATTAGATGGATTAAATGACTCTTCCAAAATCGTAATATGTGGTCAGAAATTCAACAATATATGCTATTCATGCATATTTTATTTAAAATGAATTTCATTTGTCTAGGCTCATGTACAGAAATACAAAACACGAAACAAATCATCATGGAAATGTATCTCAACATGAATAATGTTTGTATCAAATGTGAATGCAAACCTACAAGTCCTGTCCGAAATATCACATTTTCGAAAAAAAAAGATGAATGCAAGTCGGCCATCTTTAATCTGATGTCATGAACATGTCATCCTATATATATATGATGTATGTGCCAAATATTTAAAATGGTCCCTAAGCCGTGGAGATATGTAGTAGTATGGTAAAAAAAGCAAGATGGCCACCAGTCATCCATCTTTGATTTGATTGTAAAACAAATTGCCATGGACATGTGATCTAAAATGTACAATGTATGTATAACATTTGGACAAAAACTGACAAAGCATACATAAGATTCCACATTTTCGAAAAACAATTGACTGCAAGTCAGTTTTCTTGGGTTGAATCAGTTAACCACTGCAAATGCATATGTCCCAGATAAAGTACTAGCATGGGAAGACAACTGACCGGATAGATTGTTGATTTCACTCGCCTTTGATCCATTGTTAAAGCGGAAGAGTCGTCA